TTTAACGATTTATTATGTATACAGTGTTCTGCCTGCATGTATGCCCACATGCCAGAAGAGGGCGCCAGATCTCATTACAGGTGGTTGTCAGCCACCATGTGGTTGCTGGGAATTGAACTCAGGACCTCTGGAAGAGCAGCCAGTGCTCTTAACTGCTGAGCCATCTCTCCAGCCTCACCTCTTTCTTTAAATGAGACAAAAGGAGTGGATCTGGAGGTGAGGTGAGGTGGGGAGGAGCTGGGAGCTGATGGAGGGGAAACCGTAATCAAGATCTATTGTATGAGAAAAGAATCTATTGGTCATGTAATTACCTTTTAGAACAAATATGGAATAATGAAAACCTCTGGATCTATTTCCTATCAGTAGAAAATAAAATTACTTCAATAACTACTGTAGAGATTTTTTTGTCTAATTTTTAAAAGTTTTATTGGTGTATATTCACTGTACATAGTGAAAGGAATACAAAAGTGAATCATAGAGACATTCCATTCAGGTTTATCATGCACTTTGGCCATATTTACCAATACCCCTGCAATTAGTCTATAATGATTCTTTGTGTTCCTGTGGCATGTCCTTTCTTAAAACATTTCAAATCAAGCCAGATATAGTCAATAAAATCAGCAATAGTTCATCTGTGAGCGTTGGGGCAGACACAGACCAGCCTTAACACTGGTTAGCAAAGTACCTGGTACTGAGGTTTGGGTTTTGGAATAGTATTGCCTCTCGAATTGATTATGTTCTGTGATACCTCAGTAAAACCCCCCACTCTATCCCCTACAAACAAAGAGAAGCTTAAACCAGGATTCCTAAGTGTAGATAAGAACTTAGACCCCTTTTCCCCAGGTGGCTGTATCTGCTACAGGGACTTTTAAAAACACAGTCAGGATATTTGACCAAAAGACTAAAAAGGGAGGCGGGTTAAAATAAATTATATGGTCTGTGCCTTTAAGAACTAGCCTCACAAAGAAAGGGGAGGCTCCTTCCAACCTCCCTGCTGTGAGTGAGATGTTTGGAAGAGCCTCCCTGGAGACTTGTAAACTTAGAAAACACCTTACTTTTGCATTCTGTACCTAAAAGTCTTCAGTGGCGGCTTTGGGGACTGTGATCTAGGCCAGGCCAGTTTCAAGTCCCCAGAAATGATGGCGCCAGCCCCAGGAACAAAAGAACAGAGTCAGGATGTCTGATGGTAACCAATTAACCACGAGATGCCCCTCTCCAGAGATAACAAGACCTGACCCCGGAGAGAAGTTGTAAAACTCCTGACAAGGCAAACAGACAAGCTAAAATAAGATAAAGTCCAGGCCCGGGAAAAACTTGACCAATCAAGGATGGACCCGTACTAACCCCCTCCCCTCTAAGAAATTTTATGGGTTTTGCCTATAAAAACTAACTTCCCCAAGAAAGAGACACTCCTCCCTGCCTCACTGTATTGGGTGTAGGAATGAGTCCCTGTCTAGACTTGTATCTGAAGAATAAACCTTGCCGTTGCATTCTGGACATCCAAAGGTCTACGGTGGATTCTTTGGGGGGTCACAATCTGGGCATAACAGTTCCATCTTCAAATCACTGCATCCCTCAGAGCAAGCCACCTGATTTCTACACCAAATCCTGTCCACGGTATTAGGCAGGAACTGTATTTTATTTGGAGACCCACCCAAACTGTCATTTAATATATTCGAACTTTACTGTGACTGGTGCATGCATGGCACTCAACAATCTAGGCACACACCTTTAATACCAGCACTCGGGAGGCAGAGGCAGGCGGATCTCTGTGAGGCCAGCCTGGGCTACAGAGCAAGTGCCAAGACAGCCAGGGCTGTTAAGCAGAGAAACCCTGTCTCAGGGGGAAGAAAAAAAAAGAAAATGTTGACATTGTTGCACTGTAGGAATTGGCCAGGTCACACTTCAGTCTCTAGAGAGGCTGTTCTCAACCCATAGGACAAAACTCCACACACAGGGGTCAGCCTAAGACCACTAGAAAACAGGTATTTAACTCAGAACAGTATCAAAATTACAGTTAAGAAATAGCAACAGAAATAATCTTATGGTTAGCAGTCACAACATAAGGAACTGTATTAAAGTTAATCTAAGGAAAGCTAACTTATTAATACATGACACTTCAAGGAAGGCATAGCACTCAACCATAAATTATAGATTCCTCTGAATTTAAAGATCAGTTTGTTTCTTGCCAGGTATGGTGTTGGACACCTTTAATCCCAGCACTTAGGAGGCAGGGTAAGGTGGATCTGTGTGAGTTCAAGGATGGCCTGGTCTACACAGTGAGTTCCAGGACAGGCAGGACTATTTAGAGACTTTGTTTCAAAAACATCAAAAACTAGGTTTTTTTTGTTTTTTTGTTTTAATTTTTCTGTGTAGCTCTGGCTGTCCTGGTATGGTACTGTGTGGTACTTGAAGTTTTAAACAGAAATTTCTGCTTTAATAATAAAAAATTATGTAAACAACCACACAATTTCCTATGCAAAGGAAGCAATGTGTAACTCCCAAGTGAACAGCAGGACTTCCTGACTCTTTAGCACACTCTGGAACCTCTAATATCACAGAAATGTTAATAAGCCCAGTTAAAACATGGCCGAAACATTCCATGAAGCTTTAACACAAAAAGCAATTAATTTATGTTTTTTGTTACACCAGTCACCCAGTGCAAGCAATCGAGCAAAATCAGACTTTGAGATTTAATTGCTCTTAGAAGTAATTATCATCTTGGAAGCTTCTGGAAATTAGGATACAGTCACTTGTCTTTCAATTCCAACACAATTCAACTGAACTACCAGTGTACAGAATTGACATTAGACATGTGATCAAATGAAATGTTTAAAAAAAGAAAACCACCCCCAACATATGTATTAAATTACTAGATTTGCGTACTTGTTATCAGTACTTCTTATTAGTACATCTGAAGTCAGAGGTTCTAAGTAGCCCAGACTGGCCTCAAGCTAGCAATCCACCTGCCTCTATCTCGTAAGTGATGGGGTCACAGGCATACACCCATCGAATGTTTCTAAGTGGACATTTTACTTGGATTTTGAAGAACAAATGTTTGTGTAACCATCAGAATGACTTTGAACTCAACTGGAAAGAGCAGTTCTCAAGAGCTTGAACACAGCATCCTTTGTACCAACACCTACAAATAAAACCTGCTCTTGAACCCTACATTTAGAAATAAAAATGCTTTAGAAATGAAAGGCTGATTGTGTACCCTGAATAGTTTGAAGTCTTTGATCTAGTCTGGGTTGTCTGTACCAATCTATCTCTATTTCCAATCCCACCTGTTATAACGTTCTGGAAGATGACCCTCCCAGCAAGAAAGCCTTGGGCAAGGTATGGTGGTACACACCTTCAATAACAGCCCTCAGGAAGACAGTCCTGTCAGTTCAAGACCAGCCAGAATATATAGAGGAACTGTCTCAAAAAAAAAAAAAAAAAAACAACAACAACAAACAAACCAGTTTTACTCTTTCCCTTTTATCTGGGATTTGTCATACAGTGGAAGTTTGCTAGAAAACTCTGAAGGTCAAGTCCTAAATCAGCTTCATCTTTGCCTTTACTACAAGCCTTAGAAGCCACCCAACTCCAGCTGCCCTGGAGCCACCAATATGCTACAAGAGAACCTTTCTAGCGCAGGCAAATGAAAAGCTGAAGACCATCCGAAGATCCAGAGCCAGAACTTCGAATGCTTGCGATTGTGTGCCCTAACTTAGGTACCTGTCTTGTGACATGGCAGTAAGGAATGCACACTGCCAATGCCGTTACCACAGTAACCATCTGGCTAGACCCAGGAAACACAAGGTTTCACCTAAAAATCCCACACCTATTAACCCTTCCTCCTCTCTTCAGTAAAGGCATAAGGTGACAACAGAGAAATTAACATCCAACCAGATGCACGGCTCCTATATTTAGTTCACCGTTCTTAGAAAACAGAATTATAATAAAAGCATTTCTATTGGAGTCCTTGCAGAAGCAAGCTATGGTAGCTCTTATCTGTAATCCCAGAAAGCTGTGACAGGAGGGTCACCTGACTGGCTTCACTGTGGTTAAGTTCCAGACCAGTAGCCAGGGATACAAAAGTTCAGCCCCCTGTCTCAAAATTCTTGGACCCAATCCTTACCCCAGCACACATACACACACATTTTATATTTATCTTATGTAGAGACTGTCAGCCCTCTCCAAATAACCAAGGACTTCAAAGCAAAACTGTAATCAGAAGAGCATAAACTAGGCCTTTGTATTTGAGTAAGTGGAAAAGTGACCTACAAAAACATTACACTGTAGTTTTAAAATGTGGTTGAAGCCTCTAACTAAACCTCAGGAGTCTTGAGTATGCTTGAGGCTGCATCTCCTGCTCCAATCACCCGACTGTTTTCCAGCAGTCTTTCTCTTTAAATCCAAACTGGAAATAGCCGACAGTAGATTTAGTCTGGTTGTGTGAAAAGCAGGTTAGTTTATGAGTTTTTTAGCAATCCTGTTTTGGTCCTTAACTATCATTCTAAGAATTAGTTTAATTTGGGTGACCTTTTAAAAATAAAGATCAGGAAACTCAAAAACTGGACATGAGACAAAAATTTGCTATCCCAAAATTAGCTTGTCAAAACAAACCCACAAATGAGTGTTTATCCATATTTAATAAACCATGTTTTGAAAACTTAAGACTATTTCCTAATACAGGACCTCCTTCAGTGAGGAGACAATTCAGGAAGAACACCAATGGTTAGTTTACATTTGTTCCTGGGAGAATATCTTAATTCTTTGTACTATTTTATGACTAAATCTTTTTTCAATGCTAGATTTTGTTCGTGGTGTTGGTGGTTTTTTGAGACAGGGTCTCTGTGTAGCTTTGGAGCCTACTCTGGAACATGCTCTGTACACCAGGCTGGCCTTGAACTCACCTTCACCTGCCTCTGCCTCCTGAGTGCTGAGATTAAAAGCGTGGAACCATCCCCGCCAAGCCTCGATACCAGGTTTTAAAACAACCAATTCATAGACATGAGTGGATGAGTTTATTTAGAGTAAGTTTGAAACCCTTGCCTTCAGCAAGGGTACTACAGTAATCACATCCGGAACAGACAACTCCTACACTGTCCAATATATAAAAGTTCCTCTGTACTTTCTTAACACTGATCAACAAGCAGATTCAGTCCATGTTACTTTGATGCATGATCTACTCAGTCAACCCAAGCTTCTTCTTCAGAGACTCTGGCATCTCAGGTGGAGGAGGGCGAGGGAGCCTGAAGTAGACCTTCACGGAGTCATAGATGAACCACTGTAGTGCGGTCAGAGTGCCAATCATGATGATTCGGGCAAAGAGGCCCTTCCACACACCTGGTTCACAGAGGACATGTGAATGGAGTGTCCCACCACCTGCCACCACCCGCCACTCCCCACATGGTGCTTTTTCTTTAGGGGGAAGCCAATCTTACCTCTGAAGCCGAGTCTCTGCAGGACCTGAGAAGCTGTGCTTCCCTTCTCTTTATTCAGTACAGAGACCACAGAGTCAGCAGGGTGAGAAACAATTGCACAGAAGACTCCAGCTGAAGGGGGAAAAAAATCAAGATAAATTCAGTGATAGTCCTGCCTCAGCCTCCCAAGTACTAGGATTACAGGCATGTGTTACCACATTGGCTCTCTAGTTTTATTATTTAAATCTTTTTTAAAAAAAATTTATATTTATTCATTTTCTATGTGTGAGTGTTTTCCCTGCATGTATACCATATGCATGCCTTGTATGCTCACAAATGGCATGCTCTCAGAGGTCAGAAAAGGGCATTTTCTCCTGCATATGGAGTTATAGATAGATGGCTATAAGCAGATGCATTTTCAAGCATAATAGTGGTATGCCATAATAATAATGGGAATTATAAAATAACTTTTAGGAAGTAATTAGAAAGTATTTATGAATCCAGCAGAGCATAAAAACAGGAAAACAAAACTGCATTTTTTAACCTTTGGAAGTTTTTTCTTCACAAAGGGACCAATAACGGAAGTGAATACAATCTGCTCATAATTTCATGAACAAGTGTGTTCTAAATAATTCATACCAGCTGGAGGGAGTAGTGGTGCACACCTTTAATGCCAGCACATGGGAGACAGTAGCAAGTGGATCTCTGTGAGTTCAAAGCCATCCTGGTCTACAGAGTGAATTCCAGGACAGCCATGGTTATATAGTGAGACCCTGCCTATATATAAATAACTAAGTAAATAAAGAATGTAAATAAGTAAGCCATACCTATGTAACCTGCCACAAACGTCACAACCAGCTGCTCTGCCTTTGAACATTCACTTCGGGGCTTGGGAACCACAAATTTGTACAATGCTTCAACAGTACGTTCAAAGCAGGCAAATTTCATCATGGTGTATGGGATCTGTCTCATCCACAGAGGAGCAACGCCCTTGTAGAACCTAGGAAATGAGGAGGAGGCTAATTACACAGGGGTCCGAGTTAGCCTAGCGGAGATTCCCACCAGCACACAAGTGTCCGCACACCAGTCGAGTCCTGACAGTAACACATGACAGCATGACGCCAGTCATTTCCATCAGAACCTAAGACTAGCATGCAGGTATATTTATCTCACATGCCAATGACTCAAGCACCTTTGACTATACAACCAACAAAGTTGCTGGATGTTTCTTGGACTGGAACTACAAGAAACAAGAAGTTTACAAGTAGAACTCAATTCAAGATCACCCACAAAGGTGGATCTAAGGAAGCATGTTGGTACACGAAACACGCAAGTTAACTGTCAGTATATTAGAGATGCTCTAACAAGCCCAACCCACCCAAGTCCACAGACACTTAAGTTAACTCATTTTCAGGTGGACAAATGGACTTAAGCTCTCTCTCCCCGGTGGTTACTTTCAGGAAAATGCTCACTTACGCATTTAAGCCTTCTTCGCCATACATTTTGGGAACAGCTTCCCTCAATGTGTTGGCATAGCCAGGCTGGGTTTGGATTCGAACTTTAGCAGCTTCCATAGGAGCCAGGGCAATGTCAGCAAAGAATTCAGCACTGGCAGAAGCAGCTAAATACAGTGACGTGCGCCACAGATAGGTGTTTTCCTAAAAATCAAATACAGAACAGACGTGAATCACTGCCACACTGTCTATTTCAATGTGACTCTCTATGACACAACACAACTTCAGACATCTTAAAAATATTCCTCTCCCCTTTTTTGGTCTAAGACAAGCTTCACAGAAATCCAATATAGGCACTAAGAGGAGCATAGTAATGTATGGAATACACTTTGTTTTTCATCCTCCCTTTATGATTTGAGACAGGCTGCTCACTATTCCAGGGGCCATTTCTTTAGCTATAAAGCATGGTAAGTCAAACAAAAAGCACAACATCCTTCTTGATCCCCAACACTCGGGACTTTTAGTGTCAGAGTTAAATCACATACCTCACCAAGCATGTTGCTATATAAGACTTTGAAGACTTCATAAAAGCCGAACTTGCAGAGCCCTTGCATGGAGTAGCCAATGAAAGTTGGGGCCCATCCTTTAGCCAGACCACGAACACCATCCTCTTTCAGTGTAACGGAGAACCCATTAAATATGCCCTTGTACTTCTGAGGGTCCACCTTTAAGAAGGGAAATGTTAATAAAATGCAAAGAGCCATGTTAATTAGCTGTGTGGTGTTTATTTGCAAGTTTACAATGAGTTTTCTTAAAAAATACAATTTAAAAATAATCTAACACTTTGCAAACATTGTATTCTACTAAGTTTTTCTTTCTTATTTTAAAATTTAATAACTACAAAAAAGGTATATGCCAGTTCTTAGCTTAATATAAACACCTATGATTTCTAAAAATCTGTGGTATAGTCATGTGTGTGTGCTTCTGTGTGCATGCATGTGGAGGCCAGAGGTTGATGCTGGGAACATCTACTTTGGGATCTTCTCCACAACAGTGCCTGCATCTCAGGCTAGCTGGCAGAGAACTCCAGGGATCCTCCTGTATCCTCCCTGACAGTGGGATTACAAGCATGCCCAACTTTTTACACAGGTGCTTAGGAATATCACCTAAATTCTTCATACTATCACCTAAATTCTTCATATTAACATAACAAATACTCTACCAACTAAGCCACCTTCCTAGCCAAACCAGGAAGATGTGGGTGTTTAAAACAGGGTCCCTATCCCAGGCTGGCCTCAAACTCACAGCGAACCTCCTACATCTGCCTCCCAAGTGCTGGATTATAAGCATGAGCTACCACTTCCCAGGCCCTACTCAGGATTGTTTTTATAAGTAGAAACAACTTCTACATCAAGGTCTAGGTTCCTTTAAACTATACTTAACTCTTGGATAGTCATGACTATAAAATTCCAACAATAACAAAAAAAACCCTGTTCTTAATTCTCACCACTTTTTTCTTTATCGAGACAGGGTCTCTCTCACTATACAGCTCAGGCTAGCATCAAACTGAAGAGGTCTACCTGCCTGTGCTGGGATTAAAGGCATGTACCACCACACCTAGTACATTACCTTTTAAAACAACTTAAAGCTATTTATTGTCTAAATATGTAAATATGTATTCCTGATATCGGAATCCTTTAAGTAGACTATACTATACTGTGAACCTTTGTGAACAGTAGATAATCAAACTAAATACAATTTTTAGAGGTACAGCATCTGAGAATCTCTTTTACTTCAGAAATTAAATTCACTCCAGAAGACATGCATGTTTCAGAGAAGCTACACTTCACATCTGTTCACTTAACAACCAATGGGGTAGGGGCTTATCTCACTATTTCTGCCAATACTAGAAGGGTTGGGATACATCACCTTCCTCTCTCCCTCTAATATTTCACCTTCCTTTCTCTTTTAGGTAAGGAGACTTCTAATCCTGTTTGGGACAAATAAATTTTTAATGTTTGATTACTTTTAATAGTTATAAAATATTCAAATAATAAAAAAAATATAGAAGAGGCAATGCTCACAAATTTTCCTATGGACAGTAAGAGCTTTGAGAAATCAACATGATCTTTGTCTCAGTCTATTCGTATTTAGGGACAGGAATTACTTCACATACACAGGAAGAAGATTGATTACCCATTCTGATATATAAAATACTTATGCAATGACTACTTGGGGTCTTAAATTAGTAAGCCTTGAAAAAGGCCTCTGGCCAGAACTAAACACCAGCAGTTATGATGCCCTTACAGTAAAACCGAGACCAGCTAACAATCTACTCACACGTGTGAGAGGCAGTCAAGGAGAACCGAGAGGCAGCTCAGTGCTAAGAGTTCATACTGCCCCTTCCAGCAGAGTTCAGCTCCCTGCACCCATGCCATACAGCTCACAACCCTGGTAGCTCCAGCTCCAGGAGATGGGACACCCTCTTCTGGCCTCCTTGGGCATCCACATACTTAAGTAACAATCCAAAAACAAAACAAAACAAACAAAAACCACCTTAAAAAAGAAAATGAAAAAGAACTAGGAATCTCTTTCCTGAAGCCAGCAGTTGTGATGCCTCCACTTCTCAGTTGTGAAGCTCTTTACACAGCTGAGAACTGGGGCTGGTTAGGAGCACTGGACTGGATCCTCAGCACCCAGATGGCTCACAACCACCTGTAACTCAGGCTCCAGGGAATCAGATGCCCTGTTGGGGCATTCTTGGGCACCAGGCACACATGTGGTACATGAACATACATGTAGGTATACATATGTATAAAGTAAAAATAAAAATCTTTTAAGAAATAAAAGGCTGGAACTGTAGCTCAGTGGTTGAGCGTGCTCCTAGCACACATACTAAAGACCGTGGTTCCATCTCCAGCACAATATATACTAGTAAAAAATGAGGCCATCAATTTGAGGGGAAGTGGATGCAGGGGAGGGGTTGTCGGGAGCAAAGGAAGAGGGAAGTGATATAATTACATTCTAGCTTAAAACCATTTTGTAGTTAGTAAGAGAAACCACATATACAGAAGACACCCAGGCCAGTAAAATGGCAGGCGCTTGCCTGCAAGCCTGACAGCCTGGGACAAGTCTCAAGTAGTGTGAACCAGCTCCCAGAGGCTGCCATCCACCAGACACCCGCCCACACACTAACACATCAATATCATTCATTTATACAGTACAAATAAGTATAAATAAAACCACTCATGCCAATACAAACCTGCATGCGGCATTTTACTAAATCCAGGGGAACAACAGCAGTGTGTGTCAGCCCACAACTTAAGACCCCACCAAAGCCACACAGTGCATAATACTTCATGGAGCCAAATTCACAACTGTACTCTGCAATAAGACAAGACACACCGTGCATTTTAATATAAACTTGTATTAGTGGTCATCAACTTACCTCCTTGGTAGTTAGGTTTCCACACATCTTGTTAGTAGCAGTCTACCTCTTACAACTTAGCAACCATATTTCAACAACGCTTTAGTCCAACATGCAACACAAACCTGCATTCTGCATTTAACCAGATCTAGAGGAACCAATGCTGTATGTGTTGTGCCACAGCTAATAATTCCTCCAACTCCACAGAGGATAAAGAATCTGCCAGATCCATATTCACAGCTATACTGCTCTGTTTGATTGAAGAAAAAAAATCAATTATTTCTTCAGAGATTGAGAAGTTGAGGGGGATTAGGAAAAAAAATTTCTATTTCCTTTTGAAATAGCACTATAACTACTAGGCAGCTTTAGCCACCAGCTACAATTAGTGAGAAAGATGAGTTCTTATACAGTGTAAATTATAAGAAAGTCATTGTCAAATCAAATCACTTAAAATTATCAGGATGTGTATCTGTGAGATTTTAATTGCCTCTAACTTTGACTATTCTCTAAAAGTTCCTACCCTGGTAACTTCAACTAAGCGCAGTTGCTAAGAGAGTGAAGAACAAATCAAATTCAAAAAGAGCACTTGACAGGTACAGAACCTGCTAACTTTAACGTTTACGCCAGCTATTAACCAACTACTCACTCATGAACTCCCATAAAACCACATGTGCCTCTAATTCCTGCCATCAAAAAACGTTAACCATCTGCTTTAGCTTTTTAAAGCAGAGGGAGATGAAAGGAAATAAATCGGAAAGCGGAAAGACTTTTCGATTTACATTTAAGACATAACAGAAGCACATGAATGACTGGGGGGGGGGGGCTTTCTGTTTTACAGGCAGTGTTGGTAACCACTTTTGACTGCTATAATTCCATGTCCAGGTTTCCCTGTACCCATGTTCCATTGGGATTTAAGACAAACAATTAAATCAACCAACCACCTCGAATCCCAGAAGATAACCTCTTAATAACAATCTGCAAGTCATCTTCACCAGCAGCACCAAAAGCGAGAGACCCCCTCCCATCACCTGACAGACAACCAAACGAAAAGATGACTCCCCCATCAGCTAACCAAAAAAAAAAAAAAAAAAAAAAAAAACCCCCCCAAAAAAAAAAAAAAAAAAAAAAAAAAAAAAAAAAAAACACCTTGGAAAATGTGAGCGAAAAGGAGTCTTTTTCCAGGAGGGGGTTAAAAAAAAAAAAAAAAAAAGAGGCAAATCAAATCATAAGTTATGGAGTTGCAACTGTGGCTGACCAGTGATCAGAAAGGAGACTTTACCCAGCTGACTTGGCTGACCAAGCGGGCACAAGGGGGGGAGATAAAGAAGTTGGGAACCGCCTCTCTGCCTCTACTCCTTTGGGGACACCGAGAGGTCACTGAGTGGCGCTGGGCCCGGGCCCTTCCACGCCCTTGAGGGAGGGCCAAGGATCCCGACAGCGGCCGGGATCAGGGTCAGCGCCCGGGATCGGTCCTTTCCGGGACCTCCAGCCCGGGTCTCGGAGGCTGAGCAGTGGGGTGGTGGTGGGGTGGGGAGGAAGGACAGCATGGCTCTGGCGCTCGCACGGAGCACGGTGTGACCTCACCTTCCACGGCGGCGGCAGCCAGGTGGCGGGAACGCCGGGGCGGGCCCGGGGGGCTGCGGGGGCCCGAGGGGCCATCGTGCACCAGCTGCAGGTGCGGCGCGTTGAAGGGGTTCGCCCGGGCCAGATGTGCCACGGACGAGAACATGCTCCTGCCGGGGGGGGGGAAGAGAGAGAGAAGCGGGGAGGTGAGGGACCCCGCACCGGGCCCTGGCACCGGAGGCCGCCACCGAGCCCGACCCACGCCGGCTCGGCGGCGCCCTTGACGAGGTCACGGCGTCTTCCCCCCCGCCAACCCCCAGGGACGCCGCGCCCGGCCGGGCCCACCGCCAAGGCGGCGGCCACCAGGGACCTGAGGGCTCGGCGCCCCGCACCCTCCGCGCCCAGGCCCGGGCCGCGCGCACTTGCCTAAGATGGCGAACACTCAACCGCTCGCTCGGCCAGGCTGCGGCGCACAGAGGCCGAATGTCCTCCCCGCCCGGAGATCGGTGCCCTTTCGCGCGGCGTCACCGTGACGCCGCCCCGAGCGTCACTGCGCCGCGCGCCGCTCATTGGCGGAGAGGAGCGCGGAGCCCCGGGCGTCACCACGTCCTCCTAGCAACCTTATCCCCGCCCCCGGCCGCCCCCGGCCCTTCCGGGCCTGCGAGTGCGCAGGAGGATTCGTACTGCGCAGGCGCACACCCCGAGCCATGCCTTTTTTTTTTTTTATTGTAATCTTGGCCTTGGTCCGGCAGGCGACCTACCCACTTTGTCCCTTCACCTTCAGGTGTTTCTCCTTGGCGCCAGGAATTTTTACATACCTTTAAGTCATGGCTGGGATAAAGTTTTAAAAGCAGGAATGTTTTAAGGGATAGGTTATTTAGGTACTGAAGCTGGGCGGTGGCTACAAGATCGTATCATGTCTCATCTACTTATTGTAAAAAAAAATTCCACTCACTGACTTTAGGCATAGGCCTGTCTAAATTTTCCACCAGAAATTACTGGAGGAAAGAATGTGCAGGAAGAGCTCATACAATACACAAAACAGCTTCTGCTTTGCAGTAATGTCGCGTGGAGATAGTCAATGCTTCATTCCTGCAGGCACCTCTAGACATGCGCTGGAATGAAAGTGGACTGCCAGTGTGTGCTTACGACATTCAGAAGATCATCATTACCCTCACATCAAGAAGGAGGGGCCTAGTTCCATGTGGGAAGGGTTTAGTAGGGATTAAACATTCTTGCTTTTAACATTTTCCTGGGAAATTTAGCTCATCTTTACTAAGCCTTTTTACTTAACCTAAGGCACTCACAGAGCTGGCTCGTGGGCTGACCCCTGTAGTTACACTAGGTCTACCTCTGTGTTTAACGCTTTGCTATGTCATTTTTAAATTCTTCTTTTTTAGCCGGACGGTGGTGGTGCACGCCTATAATCCTAGCACTAGGGAGGCAGAGCCAGGCGGATCTCTGTGAGTTTGAGGCCAGCCTGGGCTACAGAGCAAGATCCAGGACAGTCAGGGCTGTCTTTAAAAAAAAAAAAAAAAAGTTACAAAACATTTCCCATAAACTTACTAGGCTTACATTGGTGTTGCGGCATATTGGCTCACACTGTATGAAAGGTGCATTCTGATTGGTTTAATAAAGAGCTGAATGGCCAATAGCTAGGCAGCAGAAAATAGGCATGACTTCCAGAGAGAGGGGGAGGAACTGGAGAAGAATCTAGGCACACAAGAGACACCAGCGAGCTGTGGAGCAAGTCGGATGTACAGAATGAAGGAGGTAAGAAGCCAGATAGTAGAACAGTGATTAACAGGAGCGGGTTAATTTAAGTTATAAGAGCTAGTTGGGAACAAGCCCGAGCTAAAGGCCGAGGTTTCATAATTAATAAGTCACTGGGGCTGGAGAGATGGCTCATAGGTTAAGTGCACTGGCTGCTCTTCCGGAGGACACGGGTTCAGTTCCCAGCACCCACATGGTGGCTCACAACCATCTGTAATGAGATCTGGTGCCCTCTTCTGGCCTGCAGGTGTACACGCAGACAACATTGTTTACATAATGAATACATTTATTAAAAAAATAAACAAATCTGTGTCATTATTTGAGGGCTGGCAGTCCCCAAAGAAAGCTAACTACACATTAGTTATTTTTCTGTTGCTGTGATACGGCATCATGACCAAGGCAACGTATAAAAGGAACGGTTTATTTGGGCTTACACTTCCAGAGGGGTAAACTCTAAGATTGCATCCATCTTGATGGGGAGGCGTGGCAGCACACAGCTGGCATGATGGGCGTGGCAGGGAGGCGTGGCAGCACACAGCTGGCATGATGGGCGTGGCAGGGAGGCGTGGCAGCGCCTAGTGGGCGTGGCATAGAGGCGTGGCAGCGCGCGGTGGGCATGGTGGGGAGACGTGGCAGCACGCAGTGGGCACAGTGGCAAGATCAGGAAGCTGAGAGCTCACAGCTTCAATAACAAACAGGAAGCAGAGAGAGGAAACCGGAAGTAGGCAAGGCCTTTTCATCTCAAAGCCCACCCCCCAGGTCCATAAAGCAGGACTGGTAAACCTCCCCAAACAGTGTTACCAAGGCACCAAGGGCCAGGACTATGGGGGACATTTCTCATTCAAACCACCCCAGGGCTGGAGACATAGCCAAGCGGTACAAGAGGCTGTGAATTCCATCCCCCAAAAAGAAAAGAAGGTGAGCGTCCAGATAGCTCAGAGAAAGGTGGCTGTAGCCAAACCTAAGACCCGGAACTGGGTTTCTGAGACCCACAGATTCTCAAAAGCTGCCCTCTGATTTCTACATGTGTGCCACAGCTCACATGAACCTACCCCCCCAACACACACACACACAGAATAAAATCTTAAAATATGTTTTGAAAGTATTATCTAGGCACAATATTAAAACTCCCATTTCTTGATTTTTATGTATTATTATCGTGTGTGTGTGTGTGTGTGTGTGTGTGTGTGTGTGTGTGTGTGTGTGTGAGCTCATGTGTACACACAGAAGTTAGAGAACAACTTCCGGTTGGTTTTCTCTCTCTACCAAGTGGGTCCTGGCTTGCCAGTCTTGGTATGCTGAGCCGTCTCAACAGCCTTCTAAACTCTTCCATTTAGCATAGTACAGGTGGGTGGACATTAAGGCAGAGTTGGTCCTTATACATAAGGCCGAGGGCCATATACAAAAATCACAAGAATGCGGAAGATGTACTTAAAACGACACAGATGAAAATTTCAGTTACTTATTAACAAGGTCTCAAAGGAATATTGAAAGAACTTATTTTCCCAAGAGTGGTGGATTGCTTGTCAACCAAGTTCTACCATCAAATAGATGTGTGATGTCTGTCCCTCCACAGATGTGACAGCCACCCAACCTAAGTTCTGACACATAGGTGGGACTTTGACATTCAGGACGTGTCTGGTGAGAGCTGGCGTTCCAGGAAGATGGAGTTAATTAGTACACAAGCAACTTTTATTGGCCAAAGAAAGGTCACAATATCACTGCCGTCTCCTAGCAACTTTGTCGGGCCGTCTCCTCTTCCCACATTACACTACATCTTCCTGATTGGCAAAAGTCTCAGGAAGAATTCAGGAGTAGAGAGGGTATAGGAATGTAGTGACAGATAGGGTGAAAAGTACCCAGACACCTGTGTGCCTTGGGCTCCCACTTGCCAGGTTCGTCTGCCTGATTTGATCTCATAGAAACAGAGGTAGTCTTGAAGGTTTATAAGGTGACTTTTATTTTTATAGCTTATAAAGTTTATTCTACTCCTGCCTCTGCTCCCTCCTCCCAACACCAGATAACTTTGCTATAGCTGGATAAAGCTGACACCCTCCCCCTCGGTGCTGTGTATGCATCTGGTCCGGAAGCTGGTGGACGACATTCATGGCTAGCTGGCAGAGCCGTGTGCTTATCTGTCCTGCCAGCAAGGTGACCTTCATAGGGTAACAACTGCTGCTGCTTCACTTCTGCTTCCCCAACAGTATACAGATTTTTCTTACGGTTAACCCCAACTCAAAACCATGTAGGGAAAGGAATTCTGGGAAATATAGTTGCAGCTTTACAAAACAGTGAAGAAGTCACAGGGCTGGTGAGATAACTCAGCAGGTAAAGAAGCCAGCCCAAGGTCAAGTTCAATTCCCGCAATGCACATAAAGAGTGAAGGAGAAAACCACCTCTACAAAGTTGTCCTGTGACCTCTACATACAGTCTCTCTCTCTCTCTCTCTCTCTCTCTCTCTCTCTCTCTCTCTCTC